GCGGCGCGAAAATCGAAATTTAATACATGTCACGAACACGTTGACGTAACGCGTCTCTGTCGAAACCGCGTGACGCACGTAACACACGCCTACGCGATGGACACCCTTCCGGGCGCAGCCGAACTTTTCCCACAACCCTCACGGCCGTTTGCATACGTGCGGCTGATGTTCATTACAGACTAATTATTGACGCAAACTACTAACCCTTCCATGCGTCCACCTATGTCATTCTACGGAACACCACAAACGGACGGTGGTACTTGATTACTAATTAGTTGCTAAAGGTACGGTGTCCAATGTACGACCGGTCGTGTAACTACTCGGTTCGAAATTTCGTCAGCAGTACGCCGATGTCTAATGAAGGGTGACGTACCAAAATGTCCGATAATGAGTTATTGTGCTTTTTAAATAATAATAAATCAATTATAAATTTACTAGAAGATGAATTGGAAGAGAACGAACTATTATTTTTATATTTTATGCCTAAAAAAGGAAACCGATTCCTTATTTTCAAACTACGATGCTGAAGGATATTTTCTAATAAATAGACATTTGTTCGAAAATTATGTATTATATATAATTGTATATAGCCGACAGACTGACGCAAGCGACGGCTCACGCTATACTGTTCTTGGCTGCATCTGAGTTGGGTCCGAAAATAATACTAGTTTTACATTTTGTACGAATTGGGTCCGTGTGAATAAAATGTTTTATCTGAATTGGGTCCGGGCGTATCAAATGATGCGTTTGAATTGGGTCCACAGTCCACGTATTAGTAATATTATAAAGTACGAATATGGATTAAGGATGTACTTTCTGGCAATAAAATGATATCTTATCGTAGTAAAATACATTATGAAAATAATATTTTAGATTAGGTATTTTCTGCTATTGAAATAATAATCGATGAATTATTATTAATATTATTAATCATTAAAAATTAGATGGACGACGAACGATTAAAAACGATTTAAAAAATTTAAAAAAAAACACATTTTTAACCATACCTGTAGTCACTATAGATGTTATTATAGACAGTACTAAGTCTGTAAAAATGGGTAGGAAAATGATTTTATGGGACCCAACTCGTACAGTAGACTATTTTACACGGGACCTAATTAGTGAACAATCTGAATCATGGGACCCAACTAGTATGCGCCGCTGTTCTTTACTACACTGCAAATTATAAATCGTTGCATTCGCGAGTAGGACACCAGTCAATGGGAAACGCGAATAAGCGGTAGAGACGCCGTACCTTAACGCGTTAGGGAATAAGTTCAAAGCGACTTAACCGTCATCACCTTTGAGGGGAGTCACTTCAATTTTTCGTTGGCCAACGAAACTTTTTTTTGTTCTATATACATTCTGTATGATATACATATTCAAAGGCGTCATCGGAAATTTCGTGAGGGAGATGCATCTTAGTATACACACACCGATTCCTAAATAATGGTTTAATTAAGTTGAATACGTTTTCGAATTGTACGACAATACAAATGCATTTCTCGTCGGGTTCAAAACAATGCAGACTTATAGAAAATTCGACAATGGTATTTATATCCTACATTTTTAAAATTAATTTAAAGTCGGTGGAAACGTCTGAAAGATCCAGTTGTCTCGCAGCAACGAGTAGTCGGCGACGGATTCAAAACTTTCTATTTTTTAATTTTCCTTCAATAGAGTAGAATCGTCGCTCGTCCATCGCCAGGATCCCTATCACAACACACCCGTGGCGCCGCATAATGATGACGACGGAAATCGTGCGCAGTAAACGCGCGGAACGAACCACATCAGATTTCGATCACCGGACAGTAACCGTGGGCAGCCGCCGCGTGACGGGTCCCGGTCGGTCTTAGAATTTTAATCACGAAACCGTTTGCCGTCGAACGGGTCCGCGGGGAGGGCGCGCGCGCGTCCGAAGAACGTTTCGGAAACGGGTACGCGACGTGTAACAAACAACGCGGCGGCGCTCGAACGTCGAACACGGTGCGCATACCACCGTCTCTTACGCACGCGTGCATCGCGTTCTCGACCTATCATCGCCGGACGGCACCCGCGGGTAGGCGACGGGCGGGCAACGGAACGAACGATACATTTGATCGGTTCCCCTGTCCGCCCCATCAACCGTACCGGTCCGAGCATGTTCCACGGGACGGGGACAAGGCGTTGCGCGCACGTCACCGGGGTCATACGGTCCACAACCGGATCGGCAGCACCGGCCACACGCGGTCCAACGTGTCCGCGCGACGCGTGACCACCGCGTCGAAACGTTGCGCGGCGTTACGACATCCGAACGGGTTTCGGTGAGGCACCGGGAGCGGTCGAGAAATGCGCTCTCTACGCGCTACGATATCTTGCACCACGACCCGCGTTCCGATCAAAAGGTGCTCTTGTTGCGCGCACGTATATTACCGACTTATGGAATTTCTCGACAGTTACGACGGACGGCAACGTTTATGACGTACCTACCCCGGTTGTCGACAAAATCGAATTGCCGTTTTCATCTTAACTCATTTGAGTCGAACAAATAATAACAGCCGGAAACTAGAAATCGAATGCCCACATCGCCATTTGCTACGGATGCTACCGTTTTCCGTGGATCTTGTTGATTTATTTACAATTTTGAAATTTTTTGTTTTGTTTTTTTCGAAAATGTCGACGAAATAATTTTTGTTTAACAAATTCTTGTCCGTTTAACACAAAGCATATGTTGTTCATAGGCGCGTGAAATTTTCAATTTTATTAATTTTTTTTTTTTTTTTTATAAAAGATAAAACATTAAAAGTTTAACATACCTTATTAAGAAATTTGGTTCTACCGTGTCAACCATACTTGGAAGTATAAATTATCATGTCAACATTTTTCACTCATAATCGTTTTTAAAGTTTCAAAGACCAATGTAGTAATATCATTCACCAATTCCTGCATCTCATTTAACCTAAAACTTATAGGCTAGTAGACTCGCCGTTTAATAAATTGTTAAAAGAAGAAAAATGTTAAATAAATTATTTTGCTGTTTTTCACGTTTTTACCGGCATATTTCAGTACTTTTGAGTGATTAAAGTACGAGCCTCAAAAGTAATATTATAACACATTAGCACCGGTAGCAATGGTAATTTTTCAATTGTCATATTCTTATTGCATTAGGATTACAGTAATTAAATTAAGGGAATTGAAGGACTCTTAAAGGGCTGTTTATTGAAATAAAAGATAACGTAAATTAATTTCGTAAGAAAACGTATATTATTTCTTACAAATAATTAAAAATAAATATTACAACACTGTTTATAATATTGATATAAAAATGTATTAAATATCATTATTTATATATATATATTACAAACAAAAGAATTAAGTACCATATGTATTATATATTTGCAGTCAATAGTAAATAATATCATATAATAATAAATATAAATATATTATAATAATAAAAATTGTGTTAGTATATTATCGATAATTAAAACACGAAGCAAACAATTATTTGAAAAATTGTATTATAGAACATAAAAATAACAGTAATTTTATTAGGTACAAAAAAAACTTGTTAAAATTACCGATAATTTACTATAAAAGATACTATGTACACTTATAGAACAAAATTAGTAAAATCAGTAAAAAAAATATATAAACAAGTTATTTTGATTTAGTTTCATATAATATTGCAAAAGAAATAATTATAACAAGTTGTACTTTGAAGATGAATAAATAAAATTATAACTGTTAAAAACATAAAAATATAAGTATTTAAAATAATAAATTACAAAATAAAGTATCAAAATTTAATATGAAATTGTTTTGCTGTATATCAGTTTTGTATAAAAATGATGGCAGTTAAATGCTAAACAATAAAATATTCATAATAGCTTGCGTATGTGTGCATTGAAAGTGATAATTTATAATCATTTTATATAATACAAGATAATAATGATTACAGAAAGTTTTGAGTTGTGTTGGTGTGGTAATTAATTTATGAGCTTTTAATATGTAATAGTATTAATACTCATTGTGCGTCTACAAAGACGTAATTTCCATTTTAACATGTTAATTAATCTAAAGGTAAGATAACATCATAAAAAACCGATTCAAATTCATCATGGTATAGGAAAATAAGGATCTATTTCACTCTATTCAATTATATTTGCTATGTTAGATACAAGATGGATATGTCATTAATTTGATAATTTTATTTATAAAACAGATATAATGTTTGAAAATAATAATCTCAACTTAATTATTGTATTCAGAAATTCAAAACAACTTACCACTTAGTTTAATCAGTATGTTAGAAAAAAATTGTTCTTTATAACATGAAAAAATAAATGCTTCTGAAAAATATTTTATTTTACTGTCAAACCAGTTTTTTGTATAAATATAAAATAAAAATTTAAAAAATTTGTTCAATGAATAGAATACAGTAACAATATAGTTTTATATTTTTAAGCTTATCAAAGTATGCTGTTGGTAGAAAAATTTTATGCTACGGCTCTCTAACATAAAAGCCTTTATTATGCATAATATTATACTAAAATATTAAATGCTTTAATTATAAAATAGTTTTTTTAACATTTAATATAAAGAAACTTAATATAAGTATAACTAAGCCAACATTGATCAATACATATATATATATGTTACAGACGATTTTTCGTTTTTTTCAAGACACTTGGTAATTATTTATTTATAAGATGTTCAAATTTCCCGGACAATGTATACATTGTCCCGTATTCTAAATTTCCCGTAACATAAATATAAATTAATTATACTAGTTAATATTCCTAATTATCAAAAAAAATAATAATATTAATAGTAATAAAAATTGTCATAAAAAATTTTAAAAAATAAAACGTGTTTCTAAAGAAACAGTAACATAAGTAAATGAAAATAGTTACTATATTGCCAAGGAATAGAGATTACTATTACTACTTAATCAAATTAATTATATTATTATATAAGTATGAATATGAATACTTAATAATATTTGTTCATATTTACACATCAATTAATTTTAATATCTGCCTAAGGCATTATTAATTACATACATTACATTAAATGTTGACTATTTTTTCTTAAAATGGATTGGTTTATTAGACCATACATAAAGTTCCTGAATATCGCAAAATTGATTTTATTTTATTAAAATATAAGCTATCAGTGGTTAAGGGAAAATATTGATACTAGACCATCCTTAATTAATAATTTACAACATTAGAAAAGTATAAAATAAATTAGTTTGCTTGAAATCTTATCTAAAAAATGAATGTGTACTAATACATATTAGAAAATTAATATATAAATGAACCAAATTTAAATTTAATTAAACATAGGCTTCAGATTTACCTGAATTAGGTCGAATACGAGCAAAAAATTGTTGCCAACTATTTAAAGTTTTACCAGACCAAATCCAAACACTTGATGTAAGACCGACTAGTAATGAAACAAAATATTTAGCTATAAACACCTCAAAGCTAGGTTTTCTTCCTGGATCACTGATTTGAGATGGACATGGTAGGGAATATTTTTTATCCTTACAAAGAGCAGAATGCCAACTCATAATCCAAGAACTGAGATTAACATGCTCATAAACCAAACATAAGATTTGAGCTACAGCGGGCACTGTATATAAAACACTAAATACACCAATGCGTATCATCAATTTTTCCAATTTATCTGTACCTCGTGTTCCATCATGTTTCATTACTTTTCTAATACGGCATAAAGAAACAAATCCTGCCATCCAAAAAGCTGTACCCAAAATTAGGTATACAACTAAAGGAATCAATACCATGTCTCTCACAGCAGTATCATCACTCCAAACAGCCATTGAACATATGCCAGTTAAAACATCACCTAAAATGTTAAATTCAGATATAATTAATAAGGGAGTATAGCATAATATAGCATAATGTATAAATTACACACATAAATTAATTAAGTTATATTTATAAAAATATTAGAGCAGTTAATAAAATAAAATTGTCTAGACATCTAGAACAGAACCTATTTAGGTATAATATCAATGACCCCATTGTCTTGTATAGTAATATTATGCAAGACAAAAAAGTTGTTAAACTTGCAACTATACTGGGTTACTCAGATTTACTACAAATAACATTAATTTGGTTTTTTATAATTACTTTTATACACTTTTCATGCTTTTAGATTAAGTTGATTTATGGACGAATGCACCAAAAGTACCTACCTAAGACTTAGATTTTCTTTTATTAATCTAGTTTTTTAAATTATATAAATTTATATTTAATTCTATAATTTGAGATTTAATATTTTGTTCAAAAATGATTTGAATTATTTAATAATAATTACACTTTGAAAAATGTACAGAAAAAAAATTATTTACTTATACAACAGGTATTCATAAAAAGCGTAATTTTTTGAGTTTTAAATTTTTATTTTCATAACATTTTCTTGTAATTAATTTCTTATTCCAATGTTATAGAGGCAATTAAATGTATGAGAAGGATATTTATATAATCATATGTGTATTTACTGAATTATTATTTTTATTAGTAGTTGTATAGTAATATCAAAATATAAATTTTGTTTAAAAGATGATAAAAACATTTCATAATATTTGATATGCCTAGAAAATATTTTTCTATTTTATTTAATTTTATACCTAGTAGTATTTGTTAGATTTTGAATATCATTCAAAATTTAATAACTATAAAGTCATTTAGGTGTTCTGGAATGGATCCCTCCATGGCATTTTTTTTTTTTTTTTTTAAGGATGTTACGTTCATGTCCAACTAATATTTAGTAATAAACAAGACTCGTCACTTCTAGCATTTGCATATAGTTTTTTAAAAGTCCTAAAAATAGAAATGTGAGCTATGAATTTCTTTCAGAAAACTTAGAAAGTAAATATGATAATGCATATTTCTAAGTTTAGGCAGTACCTATTTTATTCTTTTTTTTTGTGTACCCTAGCATTTTTCTTAATAAAAAAAAAAATTTAATCTTATTTTAAATATTACAAAATTACTAATATCGAGGGTACCTACATTTGTTTAGAATATAATTATTAGTATATCTACTTGAAGCAGCAACTGTATATTGAAACTGCCTAAAGCGTGAAGGTTGTTTTTTTCTTCTTCAAAAATTATAAATTAGAATTCACATAGTAAATTAACATTTTTATCATTCAATTATTCTATTAGAGATAATAACCATAACATATAAGAGTTTTACTATAAACATAAATTACATCTAATGATGGTTAGATATTCTTGAAAGATAATTTATTAGTTATAATAGAACAATTAAATTATATTCTATATTATTATAAATAACTGTACCTTTTAGTAATGATCGATAATAAATACAATTTATATTTAAGTACTGCAATAATATTTTTTTTAACTTGGGTCTTACATTAATAATTAATATATTCTAGGTAAGAAAATAATAAATATTTAATATGATCTGAATATATGAAATTATTTTTTTTCTAATTAAAAATAGATAGGTAGCTTTACAAATTATTTTCAAGACTAATTTAGTTACAATACACCCTTTTTTAATACTTGGTTTAGTATTAATTTAAACATAAATATTTTTCTTTTAATTCTAAAATTTTTAGACACAACATTTAATGAAATTTAAAATATTTAATTATTTATACAATAACCACATAAAAAACTTCAATTGATTTTAATTGAGTCAAACTTTAAATTAAAATATATTAAAATATTTGAAAATAGATAAATTTCAATCAAATTACAATTCTTAATATTTAAAAGAATAAGATATTAATATTTGCCTAAAATGAAGTAATTGGGTATGAATTATTTAAAATATTTATTTTCTAAGTTATTAAGAGTATTGAACAGTTGACAGGAGAATAGAACAGAGTATGAGTATTCTGGAAATAAGAATGCTGATGGATGAGTGATGTGACAAGAGAAGATAGAATAAGGAACAAATATGTGAGAGGTAGTATTGGTGTAATATTGATAGTGAACAAGATGAGAGAAAATAGACTGAGATGGTTTGGGAATATGATGAGGCAAATGGAAACAATAACAGTAAAAGTGGTTATGAAAATGAATGTTGAAAGGAAAAGAGGAAGAGAAAGACCAAAAAAGAGAAGATTGGATATGATTGGATATGATTGAGAATGATATGAGAGCTGTTGATGTGTTCATAAGGGGTGTAGAAAATCGAGACGAGTAGAGATTTATGATGGCCGACCCAAATAGTTAAGAGAAAGACAAAGGAGAAAAACATATATTAAATTATTAACCAAATAAATAATGAGAATAATGTATTAAATTGGTAGGTATAGTATATATATATATATATAAATGGATTTTTGTTTGTTTGTCCTTTATGCATTCCAAAATGGCTGGACTGATTGCGATGAAATTTAGTACAGAGATATATTGGACCTATAAGAAGAAGATAGAATAAGTTAAAAAAAAAAAAAGACCCAACCCCAAGAGGTTCTCAAACATTTTGAGATTTACGATGGAAATTTATTTTTATAGATAGTTGTTATTAGTTTCGATAATAATAATAATAATAAGTATAAGTGCAGAAGAAGATATCCCTGAATTTGTTATTAAGAACAAAAAGTATTGTGTATCCAAATGCACTTCAATAAATATCATTCAATTGAATACTTGAATTGTTAGACTTCTCGATAAAATGAATAAAATTACATAATGATAAACTAAATTAAGTATCATTGTAAGATTATTACATATTATATTTTAACTATTATCTATCTATATGTATAAAAATATACTGCTAGAATAATCAGAGGTAAGAAATTTAACACACAGTTTGAGACATATAAGAGGTAGGATTTTTAAAGGACTACAAAGTGCACAAGTTCGACTAATTTAGATATCTACCTTATTTATGGTTATTAGTTAAATTCTTCGGTGACTATCATAAATGACATTTTATACTTTTTTGTGTATAATAGAATAATAGATAATTAAATAAAAAAATGTATAAAGTATAAAAATAAAAAAATGCAGGTATTTATAGTTAGTATATGATAATTCAATTGAAAACTATAATTACCTACTGAGAGTTAGTCAAGAGCCTCAACATTTTTAAATCTAAAATGTAAACTATTTAATACTTTCTCAAGAATATAAAGTTGTCTAAGTATTTTTAAACTATCTTTCAACATTATATTATAAATAATCTAGATATAATATGAATAAAGAATACTAAATTGAGCACTTAAAAAAATTTTTTTTTCAAACTTGAATTTAAAAATAAGTAATACTAATAAGTAATCAATTTTTAAAATAATTTAACTATTAAGTACTTATATGAGATTCTTAGACAAATATGATTTATATATTTTACTTACCCTCAATCTTTCCCATGGCTAAGACTGTGATAGTTTTTGCAGCAGGAACAGTCCATGCAGCCAAATGAAAATAATGAGAGTTTGCTTCAATAGCTTCATGGCCCCATTTAAGTCCAGCAGCCAGAAACCAAGTCAATGTCAATACAACCCACCATACAGATGACGCTGTACTGAAGAAATACGACACCATAAAAAGTACAGTGCACCATTCATTATCATCTGTACCTTGAGTAATTAAGCTTTGTTTGTTGCACGCAATATTGTTTCCGGATAAATATCCAATTAGATATGATACAGAAACCATTAAATAACATAGAGATAAAAATATTATTGGTCGTTCTGGATATCGAAAACGATGTGTATCAATAGCAAATGTAAGAGATGTGAATAGACAGGAAATAGCACATAAAACAGACCATAGAGCAACCCATGATCTAGCCATACGCATTTGGTCATGACTCCAAAAGGCATCACAAGGGACACCGCAATCCTTAACAACCCTATTTCCAACTTTAATTGAGTATCCTTGAACGTTTCGATCAGATCTTTTTTTGTTGATATTGGTCTCAATGCGAAATTGTGGTGGGCAAACAAAGCCAATGTCAAAGCCATTAGGAGTGTTTGAATATCCCTGTTCACCAGGGAAGTGTCTGGACCCAGACACTGATGAGTTTTTACTGTTTTGAGTTTCGATCAGATTAGTTTGTGGAGTTTGGGAAGTAGTTGTGACGTTCTGACCGACACATAGAATATCTCCACCACTTTCAGGAAACTTGGAACACTCAAGATAGTCTGGCCACTGTATTTGGAAACGATTCATTATGCCCTCACAACCGTTGCGTGCAGACACACACAGGGCTCGACAAGGCGGTATAGGTGCGTCGATGATGGTGCACACCGGAACAAAGACACTGCATAAAAAGAACTGCAGATCGTGCGAACACTGGATTTTGACCAACGGGAAGTACTGCTGCGCCTCGTAGCCAGCTTCATCTTGCCGCTGCTGGCCTAACAGGTTTGGCATGATGGTTTCGGTGTACGCGATGCCCATGCAAAACGGTATGGTAATATGCTCGCACCGGCCGTGGTGAGCGGAGGTGTCATCGCTAATCGGAACCTCTTGAATCTGTTGCCTGGACGAGTGGGCGAGCGACGAGACCGAGCACACGGCAAACAACAGGAACGCGGCCACCGTAGCGGTCGGCGGCGTTCGCGAGAGACGGGGCGTCGACGCGCAGCGGTCGATCATCGTAGTGACGGTTCGCTCGAGTTCACAGCGAACGGCGGTTCGCGGCGGAAGGACGGGAAGACGTGAACCGATCGTGGGCGCTCGTCATAGCGCGCGCCCGTCGGACGGCGGACCGCGGAGACCTAGGAAGGGACGGGGACCGTGTGCGGCGACAACGATTTACGGACGGAAACGGTGCGGCGAACGGCTGAACAGGTGCTGCGGTCGGTGCGGTCCAGCCGCGGCGGCAGGCGAGCGCGAGCCGAGAGAGATGACCGGTCAAGCTATCACGTTGATCAGCACGAACAGGAACATGAGGAACACGAACACGAACAGCAAAAGCAGAACGGACAGGTGCGACGCGGACGACGACGCGGGGGTGTTGCATATACACAGAGCGCACACACAGACAAACAAACAGACGCACACAATCGAATGCATTCGATTACGTTATCACGAGCAGACGGCGGCGGCAAGCCCGAGCAACAAGAGTCCCGGAATTTGCGGGGAGCTCGTAAGCGTGCCCCCTCCGCATCGCGCCGGCGGATCGGTTCTACAACGTCCTTGGCCGATGATAGTGTTCCGTCTCCACGACGATAACGCTTCGCACTCCTTATCAAATTATTTTCTAATTTTTTTTTTTTATTAACCTTTTTCTCGCTGATCTCCGATGTTATGAAGTATTATTGGTTTTTATCACGTCTCGTTGCCCGTTTGGAGAACTGGTCTGGTCGGGTAACAGCGCAAGGACGTTCATTGTTGTTGCACAAAAAAAAACGGGTTGATAGGACGATAGAAATATAAAATAAAGAAGTGATTCTCAACAATCTTTTTTAGTAGGTACCTATTCGTAGTCGCATATACGAGTACAACGTAGTCTTGTGTACGTTTAGTTTTTAATTTTTAAAATGCCGAAATTTTTGAAATCGAAAGCGAATAATAATTTAAAGGAGTTTTCTAACGAGACATTTAAATTGATGGAGAAATTTTACTCCGAAATTGATCGTTAATAGTGACCATTAAAAAAATATTCTTAAAGGCGCCAAATCGTGCTTCAAAATTAATAAAAAGTTATTCAGATCCTAATTTACCTCTTGAATCTATCATAACCAGATAGGGTAAGTGACTTGAAGCCGTCAAACACTTTGCGATTATTCTGACAAAAAAAAAAAAAAAATGCTATTTCAAATGTTGATACTGAATCAGTCGCAGCTATTGAAAAAGCAAATTCACTGATGCAAAATATAATTTAAAAAAACAACTTCACACAAATTTCTGCAAATTTTTGTTTTTTGAGTCAGACAATTAAACAATATGAAACCAAAAACATGTATTTTATAGAAAGTATTAACATCGTAGAAATATCTGCCAATAAAAAAAAAACCTATAGGCACATGGGAGAAATAGTCAAAAAAATTTGCCTATATAATTGAAAAAATTCTGGATTTCAAACTATTAAAATCATTAAAGATATTTCATCAAAAAATCAAAAATCTCATTGCTTTGATCCGGAATAATGCTCATAGTTTTTTAAACTACATTTAACTACATAGTTTGTTTACTTTAATTTTATATTTATATAATATTTTTTTAATTATTTTTTTTTTTGTAATTTTCAATACCAATACATTTTTTCAATATTTACACATTTTGGATTTTTTATGCCATATTTTAAGAAAAATTGGTACACAAATTGATTTTTTTTTATTACAATAAAATCTGTTCCCTAGTGTTAAGCAATTTATGCAATATTGATCGAACGGTGAACGGGAGTTGGGGGGGCGTTTAACCCGCATCACCCAATCTACGAGTATTTACGATAAACCTTGTTAACTTGTACACTGTGACTCGGTGATTTGTATTATTAATTATTCCACATTTTTTCGTCTTTTCAGTTTTTTTTTCTCCCAACAGCCTACAAAATAGGATTTTTACTGTGTTATTGCTTTTTAAGGCGAATACCAATGACTTGTGCAGTGTCAAGTTAATGAAAAACCCTATATTACCGACGTAACATCAATACTTTGTTATTTAATATCGAAGCACCTCACGATCAGCATTCTCGACGATAAAAAAACAATTGTACCATCAATAAATCAATAACCTAGTACTTGTGTAACACGTATTTTTTAGTATTCACTGTTCACAGGAAGGATTCAGATTTTAATAGTATCTACGACTTTTTCTGCTTATAGTTTGTTTTATTGTAGAATACGCTCATTAAATCACTGTCCACTGGTCGCATAGCTTCGACGTCTATACCGTAGTGAGCGATTTAGTTACACCTTTCTGTTGTATTTACTGTCACTATTACAGTAAGTATAAATTACAACTGTCTATTATTCTTAGTCAAAAACAGAAGAAAAAAGTTTTCAAGTAAGAAAAACATAATATAAATCACAGTTTTTTGTTAGTCATTGGAATGATGATAATTTAATTACTTTTTTTTTATTATAAAACTAATTAATAAATAGTTGCTTTACGGAGAGACCAATGCTGTTTTGACTGAATTTAAAATTAAATTACCGATCTAGATGACATTGCAACGAACCAGAAATGCAAAAACAAGCTAACAAAAATTATTATTGATTTGTTTATAATAATTGAAATTTTTTAGTTTTCTTTCAAAATTCAAAGATTTTTCCTAGAAATATTAATTAAAGAGCTCTTCAATCAATAATGTCTGAGATACGCCAAATCGCTCACTAATCTACTCGAGCCTTACAATATATGTTTTGAGGTCAAAATATCGTTAGTCAAAAATATCTTCGATTTAATATATCTCCTGTAAAAAATATATCTATGGTAGAAAATTTCTCTATTTAAAAATATCTCAAAGAAATATCTCTCACAAAAATGTTTTAATATTTATTATATTTTATATTAATATTAAAATATCTTTATTATAATAATTATTAAAAATAGGTAAAAAATAAAATATTATATATTTTTTTTAATATTATTTTAAAAATAATTCCACTGGAAATAATAACTTATCATAATATTATTCATTACAACAAAATTACATCTCTGAAATCCTTAAAAGGAATCGTCTACAATTTTATATTTTAAATTGATTGAATTTTATATTAATTTTTTTAAATTATATTACATTAGTTACTCGATTGCCTGTAATCTTAAATTTTAACTTGTATATTAAATTAGTTTTTTTAATTTTTGTTTAATTTAATTTTTAATTGTATTACTCAATCATCCACAACCTTAAATTGTAATTTTATTAATATTTTTTGTTATAAGTTTTTATTGTCTGTGAATTATTTTCTTTTTTTTCGTAAACATTATTGTATACACGTAAAACTTACAGTATAAATACAGACAATTATGTACACAATAATAAATAATTTATTTTACATATATAATAATAATAACATATAATTTTAAAAATTACATATTATGACAATAACATATTTTTAAATATTATTAAATATTTTTGTGAAAGATATTTCTATTAGAAATATATTTAAACGGAGATATTTTGTATCATATATGTATATGATAATTTTACTGAAGATATTTTAAATCGAAAATATTTTGTAACCGAAATATTTATCGGAGGTATTTTTTGACTGAAGGTATTTTTGGGAATATATTTTGACTGGTCACCATTATATGCATAACCGTAGCAAAACAGGCTACATCAAAATTAAATTAAAAAGCATACTGTCAAAATTCATCAGTAGCCCCTGGTTATTTAATGTATTTCCCCTTTTATAGATTTGTACCTATCCGCTCCCCGCATACACACACATAGAAAAATATACGAAATTTAAAGGTAACATATTCATCAGGACTAATATACCAAAATGTTAAATACAAAATTAAAGATATGTTTATTTATTTATACTCTGTAATTTATTAAATATACCTAAATGTTGTTATTTGTTTATTTTAGTTTAGTCCCAAATATTCAACAAGATAAACTTAGAAACAAGATAAAAAAAAAACTCTTCGTGAATTCTCTTTTTAAAGAGCTTTTTACTTCTTTTACTGATTAATGATTTGCATAATTTTGTTACTTGTAAAATGTGTTATATTTTTACCTTGACCTTTATATTAATATTATACATTAGTACATTAAATGCCTAAATAAGTGTTTATTTAATAAAAAAAAAAAAGAAGAAAAATTTTGATCGAATTTGATTTTTCTATAATATAGAATATATATATATATATATATTATGTATTATATTTTAGTATTTATTTTGTTAAAATAATAAAATAAAAACTTTAATATATTTATTTTCGGGTACCTAATTTAGTCTTCAGAATTTGATTAAAAATACCAGAAGATTAACTAAAAAAAGAAAATATAACCTATAAATGCACAAAAATGACCTAAAAAATTAAAAAATTAAAAAACGCAAAAAAATGCAAAATAAAAGTTGCATAAATGGATTCGTAGTTACATAATTCAAATTATGTACTTACAAAGCTACGTTTTACAATCACCAAAAAAAAAAAAAATGCACTTTCCTACAAATTCTCAGCCTTATTAATTACAATATACGTAACATTGAAAATAAATATCATTATTAATTTATATACTTTATAAAGGTGCCTACATAAAAAAAGTAAATATACTACAGATTAAATAAAAATCGCATCTCTTAAAATGCGTTAAAAACTTAATTATTTTTAATAATCACTTTTAACATTTTATTTTTTATTTTTTGGTGGATAATGGCTTTGCTGTGGGTGAACAAAAAAAAAAAAAAATGAATAGAAAGGAGTAACAATTAAAAATATTTACACATATTTTTTACAAAACGAATTCTATCTACGTGCATTTGTTTGTTCCTTCTCTTGAACTCTAGTTATACGTACTTAATATATATTATTTATTAACGGTTTTATAATTTATTTTTATTATATTTTTAGCAAACATAAATTATTCACGGCTTGCTAATTGTTTTGTTATCATCTTTATTAAAATTGATGCGAAGCTTTTTTTCAATAGCTAATTCGTGACAGTGTCGCAATATATACCTACAGCATTAATTATAATGAATCATGGGCACAGTATACATTGTTTTTTTTTGTTTTATACAGGTACTCCCGAAATAGTAGTTAATAATTTGTATATTATTCAGATTTTTTCCTATTTTATTAATTTATCAAATTTTAATTCTTAGAGATCAGTGTATTTTAACTTATTATACAGTTCCTATATAACCACCATTGGCGTATTTACAAACAATTTTGGGAGAAGGATTGTCATCATATATTTTTTTTATGAATCAGTATAAAATGGTCAAAATTAAGTTGTTACCTGTTTTATTATTTTCTTATTGAAAAATCTAATTTCATTAATTATAAATTATATGATAAACTCTAGCTTCCTTCTTCTATTTGCCAATTCGTCAAGAACTCTATCGGTAATAATATTTAGATCTGGATGAATCGATAACATGGCAAGGCAATTAAGTATTTTCTGAAACAAA